TAACCCAACTTTAGTATGTCTATATAGAGTTTGCAATGAATTAATGGAACTGATTTTAAATCGATTTAAGTCAAAACAATGCTAGATCTGTGTACAGACAAAAGTTTAATTGGAAAATGATTTATTAAATATGGATAATGCAGCCAATAGTGGGGAATATAAGGGAGAAGGAAATCAGAATCAGGACATAATGAAAAACCCTGAATGGATGTGTGCATGCAGCATTGTGCAATATTCAGACACATAAATAAAGGAAAGAATATTTTGATTGTAGCCACTTCCTTACATAGCATAAGGTCCCCACACATCAATATGCATTACTAGATATGGAGGCAGATGTATAAACATGCCAAAAGGATGGAAGTTGAAAGGAGATACACATGGAAAGGGTCTAAACCAGAAAAAAAGGACTCATGTCCTTAATGGCAAAGAAACAAGAATGCCGCCTGGAATACTACTGCGCAAACAGCAAATACAGCAGAACAGATTATAAAACCCAGTATTTTTTATCTTCACTTCTCAAAGGTCTTCGCATGCTAGCATTCGGAAAGGGAAAAATAACTCAAGGTCTTTTCCTGGTACTGTTTGAGATTAGAGCTGTTTTATTATCCAGAGCACCTCAAAAAAAATTGAAGATGTTCTCAGCACAATATAAAAATTAGTCATGAAAACTATAAATGCTCTTTTGACTTGAGAAGGGAATCACTTCATAATTTACACTATCTCTACTTGAGAAGAGAACTACTTCACTACTCATGAGTTATTGGTTTCCCCCTCTTCATTAAGCATTCTTTGTCTGTATTTCTATTTATTTAGTGCATGTTCTTCCCACTCCCTTGTCAATGCCCTTAGATACAAGGGATATGTTTGAGACTCAGTGCACAAAGAACTTTCATTTTGATACACAGCAAATTAGAGGCACTGCACATGCATGTATATGTGGTGTAACAGACTATTAACCTCTAATGTGGACTCATCCTCCTTGGATAATTTTTTTGCCCACATTCCACTGCTATTTTCTAACATTCGCAAAACAATTAATTCATCTCTTGGAAGAAGTGCTTTGCAGAATTTACTGGTGACGATATATGTGAAAGAGGATATGTTGAAACGAAATCTGATGTATTGTCATTGTTGACAGGAAGCTGAGTGATGTGAATTGTGTACAGTATATACAGAAACGTGGTTGCCCTATAAATTTTTCTGTCTCTAAACAAAGACAAAAATAGGTATAACTAGCCTGATATTGTTTAGTTATGTAACAGATTGAGGGTTTGGGTTTTAGTCACTGAAAATGTGATAAACAACATTGTGCATTAATGCAGAAAACAGATTGAGCTTTTTAATGGTACATCAAATAAGACTTTATTAGCATCTATTAGGTTCAACCCAAAGCCTGGGAAATAGCATTAATGAGCATCATATATCAGTCTGTCTGTTATTAGATAACATTATCCCTTAAAACTAGCAAGTCATATAGTACTTTATACTTTTTACCTTTATCTTTAGAATTAGCTGCTGACATCCTCTCCTGTTACACTGGCCTTACTATTAGTAATAGTGAACCAATTTATAAACCCATTAGTGACACTTTTTCCCGAAGATAAAAACAGTCAAAATTATCTGGCAGCAATTAATCTTAATGGCTGTATGCAGTAAACAGCAATGGGCTAATTCCAGCTCTGTCAGCCCCATCAAACAATCCCACATTAGGCAGCTTTTCACTGATCCATTAAGCATATTCAGAACAACAACAAATTCAATGCTGAAGGCATATGCACTAAACATTACAACAGTGATCTTCTGAAGCCATCATTATCTCTTAAATAGTACTTCCCCCATGTATTATCATTATGCTGTACATTAGAAATACTTTGATTAAACTCCCTTAATTCATAACAGCCAGCTGCAGACCATTTATGCAGTTAATCTCAACACAACAGCTATTGAGGAAATATAACAAATGAAGGCTGTAAACTGGAAGTCATTACTACGAAAGATACTGGTTTCCTAGCCCTCTCAGTGCAAAGTGCATGGCAAGATTGTACTTCAGGATGACAGTAATGCAGACTGAAACCACTAATGACCTTCCATATGCCCTGCAATGTGCAGCAGGAGTTGTTGCTGTAAAGGTGTGTGCAGGAGCGACCTGACAAACTGCCAGCAGGAGTGGCAAAAACATCCAGGAAACCCTTGTCCACAGGACCAAAATACCAGGCGAGACCTCGCTTGCAAACCGCAGCCTCTCCATGGGTTTGCTGGCCTCATGGGGAGCTCACAGCAATCTGTGCCTATGAAAGAGCAGTTCTGGCTTCTTTCTCTATCAAGCTTGAGTTAGTAGCAATGACATTTTGAAAGACTACAGACCTTTGAGCTTCCTTTCCTACAAGTAATAGCTGTTTTGAGAATTTTTATTAGACCATTTTCTCTTTAAGGTATAATGGATATGGTGTGGCAAGAAAATTTGCATAACGCTTTCCATGATGATGTAAACAAAACAATATTATCAGGATGGGAAGGAAAACTGTAGGTAGTTTATATTTCCACTCTGACCTGAAATTCACATGAGGTACCCTCATTTAATAACATGAAAATGTTAAATAGATAAAAGTTGATGGTATTTTCTCAAGTTTTCATCAAATGTATTCCATTTAAAAACTGTATTAAAAATTCACTCAGAAGGGTTCATGCTGTATGTTAGGGAAAAATGGGAGCTAAATTCATGTAACTAATCTAGATTATACCTTTTCTTAATTTAAAAAATACTCCAAGAAATCTGTGGGATCTGGGTACAAAAAACACTTTCACAAATTCTTTACTTGTCAAGTGTTAAAGAAACCATAAAAATATTAGTGAATAAGGTCTATGTGTTTTACAGTTCTTCACCAAATATAAATAGTTTATTTGATTTTAAAGATATAAACCACAGACACAGTGTCTACCTTGCAATGAAATGATCAAATAAATAAAACTTCAATTTGGCATGAGCCTAGCTGCCAGTTCTGATCTTAGTTCCAGTTAAGTCCAGCTCACTGGAAGGTGGAATGCAAAACCTCCGCAGCACCTTCAGGACCCGCACTGAGAAGCAGGCAATGGCATACAAGAGACAACAACACTCTTTAATGGCTAGAAGAATCAACTTCCTGATACTTTGGTTAAAATGAGGTGAAAAGTCTTGCTACAAGTCCAGTTTTGTGCTTCGATTACTTTTTAAAGCTCATGTGCTGCTAGAACATGTGAGGCTGCAGCTCTGCACCATTTTCTCTGTGAGCAACCTTCACAACCTGGCGCTGCATACACCTAAGCACAGCAACACATAAGCACAGCAACACAAGATACACTGGCTTGCTTGTAAACAAAGGGATTCAACACAGCCACTTTTCAGATGGGTGCTCATGTGTAGCCTTCCCTCTGTGTGGGCAGGCAGACCTGCATACGATGTTACATGATGTGCCCTGCTTATGCAGCAAGTGTACTTTGTGAATTTGGAAAGATACGTTCTGTCCTAACCATAAACTTCTTGCAGGCTATGTGATAGTAATCTCCTTTTCAGAGGGATAAGAATGCACTTGAGCTTCAGATACAGATTTCAAACATAGTCACTCTTCCTACCACCACAGCACCTTGCCATGTGATCTTTATGTCTCTGTGCCTTGGTTTCCCCTCTTTATAATGTTGATAAGGTTGCTTTTCCATATGGAAGAACTGTTGCCACAACTAGCTGGTAAGTGGTACAGTGCTTCCAAGGTCTTTGATCTGAAAGATGAACAGAAAAAAGATTGCTAGATCACTTACACTAAGATGTTCTGCTTCTTGACTATCAAGGCTGGCTCCCATCATTAGAGTTATGTAGGACCTTTAGCCATCAAGAAGCCTGTCTATACCACAGAGTTACCCTGGATCTTTACAAAACCAGCACTGCCTCCCAGTAGGTCTGACCAGCTTCTGAGATTATGGGAATGAGCAGAAATCTCTGTGGCCCATGAAAAGGGCAGGTGCTGAGCACTCAGGAGCTGTATCCTGACCTCCAACCTTCACTACCATCACAGTAAGCAACCTGCTTTTTAACCAGCAACAGTAGACAGATCAGTTTCAGGAAATTATTTCTCCATGTCATTTTTATGCATGCTGTTCTAGAGCAAATTGGATTACAAGCTTTGAAAGTACATGAAGTGAACTTTACCTTATTTTGAGTGATCTGGAAATAACAAGAAAAGCATTTGGAAGCCAAAGCTGGTTCCTTAACCCAGTCAAAAAAGTTGAGTAATTTTTTTTCTTACACAGAAGCATTTCTAGGTACAAAAGCTTCAGGCAACAGGGAATATTAGACACCTTCTTGAAAATCAAGTCCCCATAAGAGTCTGGGCACTAAGGAGCAAGGTGTCATCTGACCAAGGATTTCCAAGACTGAAAAATTTCATTTAGGTGCGTAAATACAGTGGAAGTTTCTTACTGAACAGAATTGCCAATGTCACAAATGCAGTTTATATGTTTTACATATATGAGCTATTAATTTGGGAAAAGTAGCTTTTCCCAAACTTAAAGAGAGACTGGGTCACCATCCTTTCCAGCAGGTAGAAAGATATGTGATAGGATGTGACAATTACAACTTACAAAGTGTTCCTGAACCGTCTTTGTCCAGTTTCAAGATTTTCTTCCTTTCTTAGTATTTATTTCCTTAAAAGATATGGAAAAAGCCATAAAAACTACATTTTCAACAATTTATTTTAATTTTCAAGATATGATTTGCTTGGATTTAAGCAAATCCAAGTAGAGAAGTGCTAATGTTCACAACAAAGCAGATCTGTGTACTCTTCTAACCCAGAAAGAGGAGCAACAGAATTTGTCGCCTCATGGTGGGACCAGTTCTGGGGAGTACTGAGTAGTGGATACTCTGCAGATGACAAAACAGTACAGGCAAGAATGAAAAATTATTCCCAGTGCTACTTGCTCACCCCAGTGCAAAAATTCCACTTAGTAGCAGTTTTACCAGGCAACGCTTTTTCTTTTGGCTCAGGCTTCTTTTGACTGAGTGCAGAATATATGGCTATGTATATATACTTCAGATGCAGTAACAGGGGGCTACTCTGCTTACTTTCCAAGGACCATTTACTAATCTTGAATTTAGCTAACCAAGCAGTGTAGCAGGGAGTTTATAAAGATTCCCATAATTCTGCCTAACATGCGATCCAAGCACAGAGCTCCTACTGTACCAGTAAGAATTTGGGACGAAAGAGAAAATATATACTTACTAAGCTGCTTTTAGGAAAGTGATGGTGTTAATTGCAGATGAATTTTATAGGTGGATTTTATTTTAAATCATGGACGTTGTTGTTTCTTAGTTTGACAGTGTGTGAACTGTCAGATGTGAAACTACCTGTGTAATGTGTCCTAGTTTTTTACAAAGGGAATATAATATATTGATGAGAACCACAAAATAGTTTGGTCATACTATGGCATATTTTTCCTATTATCACCAAGTTTCAAAGCAGTCAAACCTGATTTTGAAAACAGGAATATTTTTTCTCTTTGGTGTTAGCTAACTTTAGGTCATTCAACAGTGATAAAGAACTTTGGTAATTTTCAACCATTTTTACTGATAAAATTCCAAAGGTGTGACTTTGACCAGCCAGCTCAGGACTACAGTGCAGCATGCATAAAATTGGAGTGGACTGCTCATAAAATTATTGCTATTCATGGCATTAATAGGTAGCAGAAGAATGTGAGTTATGAGTTAACAGAATGTGTCTCTACTAAGAGACAACAGAGAAGAATAATATTTTGCAGGTTTTACTTTAATCACTTGTTTTATTTTATTCACTTATTCAAGTTCCTTTATGCATGAAAATTTCTGATGTAAAAAATCAGTCTCTCTGACAGAGAATCTGGAATTGTCCAATTTTATTCCCCCCCCCCCCCCAAGTTCTTCAATCCCTTTATACATTTGGGAGAATTTCCACATAAGTTTCCTTTTTCTTCAGTAGGACTATTAATGTGTGCAAACTTTAATTGGGTCCAAATATAAGCTCTGTGCACTGGCAGAATGTTAGGAATTCAAGTCTAATGAGTGGTCAGATAGTGCACCAAAGTAATTCTAGAAATCATAGAAATCATACTGATTTATAGAAAGCAGTGCTAGGGAGTGTAGAGTTCCATCTCTTAGGGACAGAATATAAGCAATGAAACGGAGAAATGGTTTTCAACTTTTCTGAATTTGCAGACCCTATTCTACTTTCTTAAGTAAGTTAGCCATCTTGTCTTGAATCTGCCTTATTAATTATCTGGTTACATATATGGAAATACCAAAAAAAACCATGGAGAAGTAATTTCATTGAATTTCATTATATCTCTTCTAAGAAAAATTGTATTTCATGAAGGAAAGAAAAGGAATAAAACAATTATTCCATTCATATACAAAGTGTCAGTAATTTATAACTAATTTATCAATGACCACACAGCTGCACTCACTGTAGTTTAAGGAAAAAAAAAGCAGCTCATATAATGCTTACATAGTCTCTGAAAGCATAGCATCTTAATAAAGGAAGAGGAAGCCACCGGAGTAATTAGAAAGGTATATTGTATTGCATATAATGGCAGAAGAATGTTTGTATTATAGTCCAACACATCATTAAGGATACAATTGTTATTTAATGTGGCACAATCATCTTTCTACTCTTCATGAAATCCACTTAAGTAATTACTTTTCTTAGCTCATTGGCTCTATGAACTGACAGTTTAGGAAAGTGCTATGTTGAAAGAAATCCTGAATCTCCATTTTTATAATACCCTACCTCTTTTTAATCCTGACTCTTACATCTTACCTGGAATGACCATCTTCGTGATTGAAAAACTGGTGAGGAGACTGGGGAGGAGGGAGGAAAGGAGTACTAAAAGCTTTCAAAGCTGCCTTAAAAAGTTAAAATATTAAATGAAAAGCCCAGATTCCTTTTCTGTACAGTATATCCCTTTTCCTTGGTCTTGTTTATGGAACTCACACATATAAATATATAAATATAAACCAAATTAACTGATCTGTTTTTATGCTATTTAGTCATTTTTGTATCTGTTAGTAGCAGAACACTAATGCAGCAGTGCAGCACCTTGAGTTGTTCCTAATCTGTTTTTAAGAGGAATAGTTTTACAAAGCATATTTTTCAAGTTTTGGGAGAATACTGTCTTACAAAATTTAGTGTGAAACATTAAATAATCTCTTACTTCTTTATTTTCTAACAATTTTTCATTTATGACCCCAATAATATACGGGAGCAGACAAACATCATCTATATACTCAAAGCTCATTCATTTTTTTTTTTCCTGTCATGCATATTTTAATATAAAGTTCAAGACCATTCTGCAGAGCAAGCGCAGCATTCAGCAGACACGGGACTGGAGTGCAACATTTAAATTGCCTAAGAGCATGCTTTTTTTTTTTTTTGGCATTTTAAACTTTAAGCTCTCTTTCAAAGGATGTTGTAGTTTTCGTGTTTACTAGCATTACAACAAGGTAAGTCTGAAATACCTTTATCTTATTTGGTAGATCTGTGTTTGATGCTCTTTGTTTGAATGGAAGTGCCAGCTGTATTTTACTTTATTATATAAAAAAGTTTCAGAATTTAATTAAGGGTCAAGTACCCGCAGTAGATAAATGCAACAGCTAAAGCATATTTCTGATCTCTCTGAAGACTGCAATCATGAAAATTATTATCATTGAGTAAAACTGATCTCAATGATGGTGACTGGTAGATGGAATCTGTGTTAGTCAGCCATAATTTACATAATAATGGGTTCCGAGTTTTCATCAGCACCTTTTGTTTGTACAGTGCTTACTGCTACAGTAAATTGTCAAAATGTCATTCCTATCCAATCAGCCAGAAAATATCAACAGTAAACAAGGCACAAGAAGAAATTCTCTGATTAAAAGTGTGGTGGAGGAAACAGTAAAAGGGGCCACTGTAATAGTTGTAGCCACCTTATTCTGATATTTTCAACAACCCTGCTGAACAACTTAGGAAACTTATTATAATTTTTTAATGAAGCAATGCCATAGAGGGGGTGATGTCATTAGAAGAATCTCAGCAACCAATTAGATAACTGGTTTGTTTACACTTGTATTTGTCATTACCTGTTTATTTCCTTTTCCATGTGACAATCTATTTCACTTCTTGAGGCAAAACAGACTCGGCTAAAAAGTTACTTTCACTATGGGCTGGGTATCCACAGATCTACAAGAACAGTGCCCAAAAGTGACTTAATCAAGGAAAACACTTGAGTCTTAAATACAGATGCCAGCCCAAATAAATCTCTTCTCTCCCTAACAAACACACAAAGCCTGATAATATTTAAGTGGAAATGAATTCAGTGTAACTTTCTGCCACCCTCTAAAATTCACAGGAGTGCAAGGAGAAGAGGAGCATGAATTAGTCACAGTGTAGGCTTTATAGCCATCACACTTTTATACTATATTAGAATTAAAAGTTTCACATTGTGTTTGAAATAAAAATGAATAAAGTGGCATCCTGCCAATGAGAACTAGAAGCCACCCTTGTGTGGAACTGAAACATTTGGCTCATATAGTACTTTATTTTTGAGAAATGACAAGTTATATAAATGTATCTTTAAAACAGAAAGGCATAAACTTAAAAAAAGTTTCTTTGTATCGTGGTTCAGAAAGGTTGACAGAGTCATAGCCTGTATATAAACAGAACAAAAACCAATAAGCATTCCTCAAGGAGGGCATCCAGCACTGTGCTTCTAAAAATCTTCAAATAGGAAGTGATCATGTAGTTGAGTCACTACAGAAAAGACTCACGGTACCTTCTTTTGGAAATAAAGAAGAGTTTTAAAATCTATTGAAACTAAGTGTTGACATAAGGAAATATTTTGTAGAGCTTACAGACTTCTTTACCATTCACTTTATTTTACTTGGCTACTTTTAATTTTTTTCCACTCCTTCTCTTTGAAAATCTTGCTTTGTCCAAGCCCTTTCGATTAATCAGCTTGCCTGAATGAAAGCAATGTGATGATGTAGCAGTGCATCAATAAACAGGGTGCCTCTCAAAGCAGGACAGAATGCTAAGAGATAGGGCTGATCAGCAGTAATTACTCTGACGCTTCATGCAGTACAGGGAATTAACTCCTAGGACTTTGGGGCGAATTGAGAAGTAGTAGTTGATGTTCCACACTGTGAATGCCTCAGTTCCTTAGCCCATTATGAGTTTAAATGGAGATAGGAATTCACTATATACAGGGAGGGATTTTTCTTTTTTCTCCCCCAAGTTAGGAACGTGAAGCAGAGTGCAGAAAATAGAAATAATTTGGGATGCTGAGCAGGCTGCATTTCCATTTTTTTGTTAAGGTCTTTATAGTCATTTTCCATTAAAACACAAAAAAAATCAATAAAGGGATGCCGGCAGCAACCGTGTTTATGGCAATGCACCCATCATGTTGAGGAAGACACCCATATGCCAAGTTAAGGAAGTGGAATTGCTCTAAGGCAGACCTGCAGAAACTAAGGTACACAAAAACACATAGCAGGAGGGGAAATACAGCTAAAAAGGCAACTAGTTAGCAGCTGCCACTATGACCTTTAACTGCATCCATGGTAACTGGGCTAAAGATGGAGCTCCATTTTATTATTCTCACACCCACAATGTTAAGCCTGTGAATCCCATTGCAATTTAATGGCTGAAATCAGAAGGCAGATCTGTGTTCATTGGACCAGTGCCGACATCCTCTTAGCTAATGAGTGCAATAAACATTTTCATGCCAGGAAACCAATGCAAGTGGAAATATTATGCCATGCAGAAATCTATCCCCCAAACACAAAGAAATGGTCAGTGAAGTCAGTCCTTTATGATCATTTGAGTATACTGTAATTTTTCAGGTTTTAGGCCACGCATCTTTGAAGCAGGAAGATATTTAACTCATATATTCTTTAATACTGTGGCATGCAACTGCATTCACTTTTTATTAAGGATCACTTTTTATTAAGAATGGGAAGAGTTATGTATTCCAGAGTTAATGATGATAGCTGCCTCTAATTATTTTCCTAAAGGAATCTTATGGTTTTAAATAGTATTTTTTCTTTCATGCATCTAAAATGTATTTCATCTATTTGCAGGCTATGTACTGTACCACCAGCTAAGCAAAAGACAGTAAACAGCAAACTGTTTCAACAAGAAAGAGGGCTTTGTTCTAACTTTTGTTGCGATTGTAATTTGACTCATACAGTTTTTCTTAAGAATCGGTGACAAAAGTGTCATATCTTTGTCATGTGAGCTGAAAACAAGACATATATCATCCTTACTTGGGTGGAAGAGCCAGAGCAATGACAACGGCAGTTAAAAGGACTGGTGCTGGATGTGTCTTTGAATACTGAAGTACTTCCAGCTCTAAAGTTCTGTGGTAACCTGTAAAATCAATAATGAGAGGTACGGAGTGGAGCTAACATTTGATTTGTAAGCCTTTACCTGGAAAAAACAGTACAGCTGAAGGGTAGCCATTAGTATTTTAAAAATTGCAAATATAGTGATTTAGCCACATTGAGCCATTCAGTCATTATCTGTCTTACCCCCCAACCTCCCTTAAAGAAGCACTGTTGTTCCAATAACACAACACACCAGGGTGAAGAAGGAAACTCTGAATGCATAAATGTGCAGCTGGGAAATGAAGGTCACCAAAATCTCCTTGAACTCTTGGGTAAACCCACTATATTTGTTTCAGTGCAGTGCAGTCAAAGACATAAAACTACATTAGTACATTCATAAAGAGCACTATGTGAAATATCCCTGCCTCTCACAGACAACTTCCTCCTTCATCTTAAAATACTCAGAATTTTATTTTTGTTAAAATCTTAGCCTGGCATAAGGAGAGAGGGCTTAATGACTTCCCCTGACAAGAACTACATGTTGTTTTTTTTTTTTCTTCTTATGGAATATTGCCAAATATCCTTTGTAATAAAAAGCTTGAACTATTTTGCTAACAGAAGCCGCTTGTTCTGGTAACTGTAAAGGTCAGACAGAAAATAATTTTGGTGTTTCTTATCTCTTAAAATAATGTCACTTTTTATCATTATGGTAACATTTTTGGACAACAAAAAAAAAGAGAAAACAGAAGATGTGATACCCCAGACCACCAGATACACAATTTTTTAAAAGACATTAGGTTAAAAAAGCTGTTAGCCAATTATACCAAAGACTGAAAATGTCACAAAAGCCAATGAAATCTCCCTGGTAACATTCAGAAATAATATGCTTTGGATCATTCTGTATATTAAATGACAACTGTCAATTTAAAAAAGAAGTCCTCTAAAATCTTTGATGTATGACAATTTAGAAGTTGAAACACACTGTTCTTACCATTTAATATCTTTGAGATAAAAAGCTTTTGACATATTAACTAATGTGAAGGAATAAGTGCTCCTCTCATTTTGCTAACACAGTACTGGACTGCACTGAGTGGCTTTTTGTGGTAAATGTCATAAGAAGCAAGGTGGTATATAACTGTCTTATTTAGTTAAGACGGATACACATTTATGGCTATTACATTACATAACAATAGAGAAAGGTGAGGTTTTTTATACTAAATATTGTTCTATGTGAAATATTCCTTTCAGTTAAATGGGCATTTGAATAGGCACTGATTGTCAATATTATCTAATCCGTTTTTCCTTCTGTAGTACAGCATGATTCCGAGGAAGCTGTCAGTGTCTAAATGTGCAGCCATTCCAGGATAAAAGGTCTGTAGAAATGCATGTTAGGTTGCCATTTTCTTGTGATTTTTTTGTTTGTTTGCTGTTTTTTTTTTTTGTTGTTGTTGTTTTATTGTTGTTTTTTTTTTTTAAATCATCCACAACCTCTAGCTTCAGGCATCTGGCCTATGTGGCTCCCAGGTAGCTGAGGAAATCACCTAGCAGCGCTGGGTGGCAATGCTGGGCTCGTCGCTTCAGCTTGGCTCCCGGGTTCTTCAGCTATGGAAGATGCTTGTTGCTACTCTGTGAGACCTCAGCAGCTAAGGCAATGTCTCAAATCCATGTGCCTTTGACTGGGGAACAGCTGAAAGTCTCCTGTTTTGAGGATAACTCAATGTTGTATCCTATCAGGTTTGCCTATGTAAAGACTTCTATTGCCGCTGAAGCAATGGAATTCGGCAATGACATTTAGACAAGTGCTGACCCTGGGAATATCTAAGCCATAGATGACCAAATAATATGAAGCTAGTTCAGCAGAAACATTTTAGGGTCTGAATTTTGAGTTGTCTAAATTCACACCCTGTAAAAAGGAAGATCGTGTATCTAAATAAATAGCAAACTTCTCAGGATTTTAGTTGTCCTTAATGAATATTATGTATTCTAATTGTTAGGCACAGCGTGGCTGGGGTTTTGTGGCCCTGGAAAACCTCATATTGAAGGATTACACTGCTCAGTTGTTGTAAGAATATGTTTGAAGGTGATTTAAAGACAAATCTGCCCCCAAAAAGGAAAAGTCCTAAACAGTGTAGACCTCACCAACTGCTGCCATTGGACACTTAGGAAGAGATTAGCTCCTGAACTTCTTTTAATTAACAGTATAAACACAGGCTAGGAATTCTGCTGTATATTGCCTCAGATCAGCTGTGGACTTTTTTTTTTCAGTTACTTTGCTGAAGAGCAGACCACAGGTCGACCATAGCAAGACTGGGAAGCATTATGAGGTCCTTCACTAAATCCTTATAATAATGCTGTAGTCACTGGAATAAAATGAAATAACAGATGAGAGGATGGTGCCATGGTTGTGAAGATGGCAATAATCATGATCTGGGAAATCTTTCTTGCCCCAAAAGCAAGAGCAGAAAACAGAAAACACTGATGTTCAAACACTACTTTCAACAAAATGTATTTGAAGATGCAGATTTTTCTGCTGTGAAAAACTGGGACATTGGGACCCCATTCAATTAGACAAAGGAGCTGCACAGAGTGGGCTCCATCTCACAGGTGGGATAGGTACTGCCTTGGTTGAAGACTAGATGGATCATCTAAAATAACATCACTAATGTAAGACTTTGTGTTGACAAACATGATAGAGATCTAAGCTATATATATCCCAGTAGAACCTATACAGTGCAGAAAATTCATATAAGCAGCAGGAGGAACAAAGCAAAAATGTGTACCAAACAGAGCTATAAACAGGATAGCATTTTTAAGTTTTATACAAAATAATCCACATATATTGCAGAAATTTCAGAAAGCTGAGGTGGTAAAACTGCTCACAATGATGTTGAAAGAGTAGACTTAATAGATATTTCTGTCTTGAATCTGAAAAAGAGAAATTATATATTTATGTGTGTATTGTATGAATAATTGTGGTTTTTTTCATTGTTTGGCAACCAAAACAATATATTTAATTTCAGATAAATCCAAACAGTTTTTTAAAATTAATTTTCAGCATATACACAAAGAACCTATTAAAGTCCATTTTCATTTGCTCTCAGTAGCCTTTGTTTAAGTAGGTATAACTTGGAAGAAGATGTTCAGTCCAGAATTCCTTTATTTCAGTGCTTAAGCCATTTACTGAGAGACAAGAAAACAGGGTCACATTCTTATTCCTAGACAAAAAAGGAGGAGGTTTGAACTTTCCTTTCCTATTTCATGGGTGACCGATATATTGACATAAAAGTGTAAGAAAGCAAAACTCCTTTCTGGTTTTGGTATGACATTTAAATCCTGCCATACCTATTTGCCTTACCACAGTTCCGGTTCATTCCAGATACTTGAATACATTCAAGACCAATGTCTTTAGGTGAGTTAACCGTTCCAAGGTGAAAAAATGTTCACCATACTTGTATCTCATATAGGTAATAAAGAGGATTTCCCATTAGTAATCAAAAGGGGTGTTGAACAATAAAACTAATGATAAACAGTCTGAAATCAGCAGCATTGGATTACTGGCATATAAGAATTCCTAAGAGCAACTGGAGAAATGTTCAGTACATTGATGATAATTTTGAACAAGTCCTGACACAGAATCATAGAATCGCAGAATCATAAAATCATAGAATAGTTAGGGTTGGAAAGGACCTTAAGATCATCTAGTTCCACCCCCCCGCCATGAGCAGGGACACCTCACACTAAACCATATCACGCAAGGCTCTGTCCAGCCTGGCCTTGAACACCATCAGGGATGGAGCATTCACAACTTCCCTGGGCAATCAGTGCCTCACCACCCTTACAGTAAAGAACTTCCTCTTTATATCCAATCTAAACTTCCCCTGTTTAAGTTTTAACCCGTTACCCCTTGTCCTATCACTACAGTCCCTAATGAAGAGTCCCTCCCCAGCATCCCTATAGGCCCCCTTCAGATACTGGAAGGTTGCTATGAGGTCTCCACGCAGCCTTCTCTTCTCCAGGCTGAACAGCCCCAACTTCCTCAGCCTGTCTTCATACGGGAGGTGCTCCAGTCCCCTGATCATCCTCGTGGCCCTTCTCTGCACTTGTTCCAACAGTTCCATGTCATTTTTATGTTGAGGACACCAGAACTGCACACAATACTCCAGGTGAGGTCTCATGAGAGCAGAGTAGAGGGGCAGGATCACCTCCTTCGACCTGCTGGTCACGCTCCTTTTGATGCAGCCCAGGATACGGTTGGCTTTCTGGGCTGCGAGCGCACACTGAAGCCGGCCCATGTTCATTTTCTCACCAACCAACACCCCCAAGTCCTTCTCTGCAGGGCTGCTCTGAATCTCTTCTCTGCCCAACCTGTAGCTGTGCCTGGGATTGCCCCAACCCAGGTGTAGGACCTTGCACTTGGCATGGTTAAATAATACTATAGAAAGTAACAAAACAGACCCCTTCCCCTGCTGTCACTCTTATGCAAAACAATACAAAGCTGACATAGGATGTTTCTTCTCTGATTCCACAAGAACTGGTAGCAGATGAATGATTAAAAGTTTTTTTATTAACAGTCCAGAAGCTGGTGTGATATTACTCCTGGAAGTGTTTACGGATAAGTCAATGGTAAACAACAGAGAGAACACTCTGGAGATGGAAAAGATTGCTTAGTAAACTAGGTTATTAGAAATAGAGTGCTTTAATACAGTTCAATCCTAAATTACCTTTCTAGAAACAATGATGAAATCCATGAAACTGAATAACTGAAAGCAGAGATTTAAAAATATGGAGAATTCATACTAGACAAGCAATGAAACAGTAGCTCAGAATAGGATGGTACAGCAGTCAGTGAGGGGAGAAGAGAGGTGGTCTTTCTGATATAATTTGGAGAGGACCATGCTGGAGTACTGCATGAACTCTGCAGTCCACGTTTTCAGAAGGACACTGGAGCTATTGAAGAGGGTAGAGAGGAAATGCAGAAATGTTTCAAAAACAGGAGAAAATGCCTTCTGGTGGGAGGTTTAAAGAGTTGGATCTTTCTGTTTA